TTTACTTTAGAAGTGTAAAGAAGGGGGATTTCAGCTCTGTGTCTACATGCATGAGAGCATGCATGTGTGTGTGTATCAATGAGATTTATGATATTCATTATGAAACCTCGTATTCATATTTAGGCAGACAGCCTGGCAATAAAACCGCCAGACATTCTGTACCATCAGATCATTATCCTCATCATTTCTCAGTCTCACACACACACACACACAGTAGCACTTTACTGCTGCTCCTTGTGCCAAGTGTGCATAGTGAGAGTCCTGGGATTGACCCAGGTTTTACTGCTGCTACTGCAGAGAGTATGGAGGCGAAAAGAGAAAAAGTGAGGGGGAGTAAGTTGGATGAAGAGATTCATCATCATCATAATCAACAACAATGTTATTTTCAACATGGGAACAAAGAGAGAGAAGTTGATGAGTAAAACAGTAAAAACTGAAAAGTGGTACACAAGTGTTTTTTTTCATCATTAAAGAGCAAAAGCCCTTTCAGAGTTTAAAGACTCAAACTACAACACATCGGTAGCATTGTGTGGTGCAGATAAACAGATACAACACTGTCCTAGACCTGGCGTCCCCATAAAAAGCAGTATTAGAGGTTACAAGTATTTTATAAAACTAAATAGGTTTTATTTTTACTTTTCCTAAAACAAAGAATTTGTACACATACACAAATACACAGACAGAGCTAAGACCTCTGAGCATTGGCTGTCCATGGTGCTGACTTAACATATTTAAAGCTGAAAATTTCATAAACTTTTGTTCAAATATCATTTTAATCAGCTTTTGCTGACCACCCATAAAGTTTCAAACCAGTGTGTTATTAGTAATATTACTGTCATATCATAAAATCTGCATGTCATGTTACTTTAGTTTGTACTTTCATCATATGAGAAAATGACAAATTAGCACACAATAGAATAATTTACTATAATAAACTGCATTTTATAAATAGAAAATCTATGTAACTACTATAAGATACAAGTTGCCTATATACAAACACTGAAAAATATTGAGCAGGAATAGAAAATGACAAAACTTCAACTAGAAGAGGTGTATATAGAGGCACAAGACACTATCAAAAGGAAAGTGACGAGAAATTATTTATGTTTAAAAAGTACAATGGAGCATAAAATGTTTGTATGACTAGATTGTGAAAGACTAGAAGAAACTTTCAAATAAAGCTGTATGTCTGTGCCTAAGTGTGAATATGGAAGCATGTCTACTGTGTGTGTCTCCTGAAGCAAGGATGAAGAGGAGTTGTTAAACAGTGCCAAATGGACAGATTATTAAACATGGGAAACACACCACACACGCACAGGGCCTCCACCAACCCACATCATTGCAGCAGACACGTTGTGTATACTGTGTATGCTGTCACACCATACACCCACGCACACACACACACACACACAGTCAGTTCGCCCTGGGGAAATTGAATGTTTGGGCTATAAGAGTGGAGCAGAGAGCACATCTGAAAGTGCACTCAAATTCACCCCTCACCAGGGAATTCACAAACACTTGCACATTTCCTCCTGCTGGATTTCACCCACTTGCTAAATCCCTCTCTCTCACACACGCGCACACACACCATCTCAAACACAGAAAAAACGGTTTCTCTCACCCTCTGTGCTGCTTTAACTTCGTCAGCTTGAGAGGAAAACTTAATATATCTGGGACCTAAACAGTAGGGACCCAGAAGAAAACAAGACCTGGCCATGATCCAGCAGAACAAAACAAGTAGTTGTTGGACTATTTCCCGTTGGCCACCTCACACAGAATGTGATGCAGTATGCAGCTTTGTTCAGAATTTTAAAGATATTGTCCCCTATTCCCTACATTTTCTTCATCTCAGGAGGAACTTTATTATGAAAGTTGTAGGTGATCAAATTTTAATAAGTTGTGTTTAAAATATTATTTCATTCTTCCCGTCCATGTCCTCATTTGACCTCTGGGTTGGATGGTTAAAAGGAAAAAAAGGGATACACTGAGCACAAATAACAGCAACCTCCATCTAAGTACCCTTTGTTTTTGCAAATGATGTATCAAACATAGATTGTATAAGTAAAAATGGATGTTGTCACTGTGACATCACCCATATGTTTCTTTAAGAGCCAGTGTGAGGTTCAGAGTGGGCACTGGCCATTGCCAGCTTGGGAGTCTTGACTCTGCTATTCCAAAATTGGGCACGTGGAGCGTGGGTGGAGCCGAGGAGGGCTTAATGAAGCCTGGCTTCTGAAACCAGCCACCTGTGATGGCAATATGTCACTCAAAGCAGTTATGCCCTTAATTATGCATAACTTTAAGCCTCAATATAATTTAAAAGGGTGAAATATATAAAAATTCACCACTATTCATGAATGGGGAAATTAGCCATAGAGACCAAAACTGTTTACAGCCTTATACAAAGCCTTGTATAAGGCTGTAAACATTTTTATTTTGGCTGTGAAGTTGGACATTTTAACATGGCAGCTTAACTTTTGGCGCTAGTTTCAAGTGGCCATTCAAGGAACTGCAGTTTTTGGCACTCCCAGATTGGCTTAATTTTTCAGAGTCTACTACCACGGTAGCAGCATGCTAACAAGCTGACAATAACAATGCTAGAATGATGATTTTCAGCATGCTAACATTCCCTAATTAGCACTAAGTGCAGCTGTGGCTTGACTTAAGTGATGGACCAATCAACACTGCCATCTCTCGGGCCATGCCACTAGCATATTGAGTGGATAGTGCATATTTAATCTGATTCAATATAAATGTCATTAGTGTTTATGCATTGCCTTTGGCCACCATGACTTCCAGAAATATTCCATACGTAATATTCAGGGAGCCAGTTTTTCATTGTCACCCAGCTGATGAAAGGCTTCAGTTCACATAAAATTTGGTTGACACGCTGAATGGAAACACAGCCAGTGCAGGCTCATAAATGGGAGTGTCGGTACAAGAGCAGAGCACAGGATCATCAGTACCCTTTGGGCTTGACTCACACACATACACAGACGCTGCAATAAGTGGCACATTGATATAGCGAATGGCAGGAAGACAGAGAGCATCATTATTGCTGCCGTCTTCTGCCTCCATCCATTTAACAAATCTATTAGAGAACATCACACACACTGAGAAAGAGCAGCAATTGTACAGCAATCTGACAAATGGACTTCAACAGGAATGACTCATCAGTACAGAAAGTACAAAGAGCCTCTGCTGCGCAGTTCGCATCTCCGTGCCAACATCATTTATGTTATATTTTTCCCTCTCTGTGTGTGGCAGTGGTAGCAGCATGTGCAATGAGCTGACAGAGCTTGGTGAGTTCCTGTCTGGCCTGTAAAAGCAGCACGAGCCTCTTCCTGTATCCTCCTAAGGATTCCACCTGGGGCCGCAAACACACACACGCACACACATCACCATCGCATACACTGTCTGGCAGCTGCACCTAATAAGTCACAACTGGAGGAGAAATTCCCTGTATCACAGCCCCAGTCGTCTCTCCCCTTTCCCACTCTTTCCTCAGTGGTACCATAGTATTCAGATGGCCTTCAGTGGGCGGTGAGTGTTTGTCTGACCTTCTCAGCCCTCAGCCCACACACATTAAAGCTAGTGCCGCGCTTTAAGCTTACACATAGAATATCAAGAGTGTCAAGCCAAAAACACAAAATAAAATCCATTGACCATAATTCTATAAAGTTCAGTGGGTTTTGAGCTGAGTGCTGCGCAGGACCAAAACCATGTTTCCACAGTCTCAGGATAGCTTAATAATGGACAATTTTATTAGAATAGTATTTAGAAGTGAGGCAACTTGCTGATAACTAGTTGTTAAATGTTGTTTAAAGTTACATTTGACATTTACACCTGCATTTTCAACACTTTTACTTAACAACATGACACATTCCAGTGAAAAACAGCAGCTAATGGCAATTACAGTGCTAACCTTTTTATTGGTTTTCCCTTTAATTTATTACTACCTGGATTTTTGTAGAACTCGCTCGATTAGCATCCTAATCCTGAATTCAAAATGGTTCTAATTTGTTTAAATCTAAATTCTAAATCAATATTCTTGTTATTGTTGAATTGATATCTGTGCTTTACTTGTTTACATGCTTCAGCAACCTTTCCAGCTTGACAATAATACAACCCTGATAGAAAGACAGAATTCAGGATTTTTATGCTTCACAAAATTGACAAATTTAAAGATATGACAGATTGGCAATAACTATCAACACTGGTAGGAGCTTCCAAAACCCATGCTGTTTGCAAAACACTAGAATGCAAAACTGGCCTTCCTATTGCATTGGGAAGTCTAACAAAACATATCCTGCTACAGAAATACCTTCTATTGACCTCTCTGAGTTACAGTACTTCCGTCTTTTTTGCCTCTGTAAACAGTGCAGTGCAACTGCTTTGAAGTTTGGGACAAAGGGTACCTTTAGGCTGCTGGAAACACTTTCATCAGTCAAAGGAGAGTTTAGTAGACTGCTTGATGATATCTCAACAACATAACAAGATTCCTAATAGTGCTGCCATGTGCAGGGCACTTTAGAAGACCAAAACACAACACGGCACTGGCAAAGTGACACAAGTACCGATGCACACAGTTCATAGTTTTCTGAGCTGGGAATCAGTTCTTTCTTTGGCACACTCACACACCCAAACACACACACAGATGTTATCCTACCTCTGGTGTTGGTGGCCATGTCTGCCACCTTCTGAAAGGCATCCAGGAAAGCCACAGCAGCCAGAACAGTGGTTCTAGATGAACAGAGTAAAAAACTCATTAAGATAAAATGGCATTATGGTTAAGGTTTTTTTAATGAGCACCTGCTCTGAATGAGTTTCAGAACTGTAGATTTTATCTAAACTACACACTGTTTTATATGGGGACTGCCTATTGCTCCGATGGCCCTTTATTCCAAATCCTCCATAGTCTGAAACATGTCCCATTGCACTGAAAGCCCATTTGTCCAACAGCCCGTTATCCCGAAAATCAACATCCATTCCTCCAATGGCATTGCTCCAAAAATACTAACCCAGAATCATGCCAAAGCATATAATTCACACATCGGTCAACCACGTACTTTTCATGACTAGGCAAAGCAAAATGTGACACTGACCCGGTATTTTCTAGTGGTTAAGTTAGCAATAATATGCAATGTCTGGTTTGTTCTCTGTTCTCTTTGTCTTGTTGCTCTGTTTACTGAGAACATTTCAATTGACGGTTGAGGTTTGGTTTAGGTACCAAAACTATAATGATATTTATCTACTATCTTGATAAACCAAGTATACTTGCTTAGGTTTATGACAAAAACATGGTGTGTAATACACACACTGGTCCATTGTCTAATTTTAACACGTAGATGAAGCAAAACACTGACACTGACACATTGCAATTTCAGGGAGGACAGTTTGTATTTTTGAGGCAATGGGCCTTCATAGGAATTTCCATTTGTTTTTGGGATAAGGGATTGTCTGAGATATGAGCATTTTGTTTTATTGTCAAAGAAACTTACCGGAGCTGGGAATGCAGCTTAGTGGCCTTGGCACTGAAGTCCTCCCACACAGGATAGGAGCACTGGCAACACACAGACAAAAATACATATTAATATCGACAGATGTTACATATGGTTAAACAATGTTGATCGATAGGTCAGCAGTTATTGTCCCAGTTCACTGATTTACTGTGCAGAATGATGCATATGTCGGTAATGAAAAATAATGGTGAGTTGAAGCCCTAAAAATGTGCTCTATCCCTTCCATTTAAATGCTGCTTACACATTAAGGCATCAGTAATAAGTACATAATATTGTAATATATAATAAACACAGTTCTAAAATAGTTGCTAGTTTTATTTTTGATACTTTAGGTATTTTTGATTTTAATATTTTTGTACTGAGCAAAACTTTGAAGTTTAGAGTACTAGTTAATGACTCAGTATCCAATAATAATAATCATAAAGATGAGGAAATAATATCTTTTTTCCATGTATGCTCCTTTTTAAAATTTTAACAGCTTAATATAAACATTTCTGAAGATCACACTCATTGTTCTCCTCCTGTACCTCTGTTGGTTAATACTGTATCTCTTTACCTTTATCAACTTCTGTCATCAACCCAATCCCCCATTCTTTCCACAAAAGCACACCCCTACCCCACCGTCTGCTCAATCAGTACCCTGCCTCTCCCCATTTTTTCACCCTCTCTCAACCTCTTCCTTCATCCCCAAAAACAGCAGCCGCCCCTCCTCTCCTTCCTATGCAGCCATCTAATCCATCTACCAACACACACACACACATTTATACAGAACACTTGACAGCCACTGGCATCAGACAGCATCAAAGGGTTCGACTAGAGCAGCCTGGATTGCTAACACAATTCAAAGCTGAAGCTGTGTCTCTAATGGATGCGGCTCCCCCCCATCCTCCCACCCCTCCGTTAGACTGGATGACTGCTCTATCATACACACCCAGTCTCAGCACATATTACATTATACTTGATCCAGGTTAACCTATAACCCTGTTAAATGCTTGCAAATAGTGTGCATGGGGGTGGGTGATTGTATTTATATCAGCATGAGGTCCAAATATCCCTACAGGAACAGGAATACACAGGGAAACTTGAAAAAATGAACTTGAGGAATATTTTTAAAAAAAATCAGGACAGTAGGAAGGAAATGTGTGTGTGTGTGTG